ATGACCCTTTTCACCACCAGAAAACCTGAGAGTCAGCAATGTTATACATCCTAAGAAAAATGATACTTCTATCTAAAGATGAAAGAGGAAAGTGGGCGAAGAATAAAAAGGAAGGAAAAGATAGAGCATTTGGAGAAAAATAAGCAGTGGAATTGAGGAAAAAGAAAAGGAACACAAGAGAAAAGGCCTCTCCTTCACTAGTGTTGCTCTTTCCCAGGCACAGCAATGGCACTGAACAATTCTGTAAGGAGCTTCCTGATCACCTGAACAAGAGGAGAGCTGAAGGCTGCTATTCAGCACAACCCTTACTTACTAAAGCCTTTCAAAGGACTTGCTTGCTCCTGGTTCTCAACAATGCTGGTTCTCCTTGGGTGTAATAGAGAGGGTGAACCTTCTAAAAAGTCTAAGCCTCTTGAAGGTCAACTCAACTCTGGAGAAAATGATAGATGGCCATCACAGCACCAAGAAAGCTGACCCTTGTAAAAATAGGAGGGCCAAACACAAAATGCCTCAGCTAGCATATGATGTGACCTGACTCCTGCCAGATGCCTAAGCCATATTCGTATGCATACTCTCACAGTGGATGCAGGGCTCTGCAGGGAAGGGAAGAGTGCTGCTGTAGGAAATGCAACCTGTTGTGCATCAGCATCTCTCTCCCCTTCCCAAACAAAGAGCAGCTGGGAGAAAACCTCTATCCTAAATGTAGATTTATTAACACTCAGCACCAGGAAGGCCAAGGTCAAGGGTTAAAGCTCGCCTTTATCCATCACTTCTTGATATGACCTTGGTGGGGCTTTTTGCAAAGGGCAGGGACAGTTGATGCCATAATGAGTTGCTCTTCCCAGGGGACCCAGCATGATGAAAAAGTGCAAAACATCCACCTTCATGTACTGGGGCAAGAATACAGGTTTGATTGGTAATAAGTTTCCCATTAAAAATACATGAGAACTTACCTCAGAGAGAGAGTAGACCCCACAGGATAAAGTCTGTTCAGCCAGCTTTTAATGAAGGCAATTACATCCATTTATTTGAGACTTTCCTTCCCCATTCTTCTCCAAAGAATACAGGCTCACTTCACAGAGGAAAACTAGAATGAAAAATAAATTTACAACTATTGTTCTTTAACTGAGTAGATTATATTTTTATATTTGAATGGCAGTATTTTAATTCAACTAAGTTGGTGCATATTTAAGATTAGCTTACATGAAGATATAATAGCCACTTTTCAGAACAAACCTTTTTTTAGATCCTGAAGAAAGCAGTCACTTCTAAAGAAGCAATGAAGATACAACTTGGGTGGTCATTGAGACCATTAATTTTAATTAGTTAGCCAATATATACAGGAAGGATCTAATCTATTTCATTCTGAGGAACTAATGAGATATTTATTCATCTCTCAGTCAAGACTGGATGGCACAGGTTCTGTCGTTTGCTTGAACTCAGCTTCAAAACACAGTAAACAGAGTTTGCTCTTAGTTCAGTGCTCTGTCCTCCACACATATGGAGAACCTGTGGTAGTCTGATCAGTAGACCTATGGAGTTTGCTCAGTAGATCTGCATTTCTGAACTCAAACTCCGATTTCATATTCACAACTGATGCAATTTGAAGCAGGGGAATTCACCACAGACAGTAAAACTCTCTCCATTTCTCCATTATGACTGACACCAACACTCCAAGCCCTTGTATTTTTGCAGGTAAGGATGGGAGACAAGAACAGGCATCACCACTCCAGGTGGGATGATGCCAGAAAATATGTCATATAATGTGAGATGAAGGTATAAAGACTGGGCACACAAATGAGTTTACACACCTGTTTGTGAACAAAGCTAAATCATCCAGATTAAATCATGTGTGAACATTGCATGTTGTACTGTGCAGTACTGAGCAGCTTTCTCTCAGGTGAAGTTAAGGATGCAGATAGAGTTCAAGCATCAACTTCAAAAAGGAGATGTGTCTTGTTGCCTTGGAGTACTCATCTCCTGATACCTCTAACAGTGCCCTGTAAGTTCAGAGCAGGCACTGTAAAACCGAGCTCTTTTAAAGTTGCCTCCAACTGGGGACCAAAAGACAGAGGAGCCATAGTCATTACCATGACTGAAAAATTCGGCCTTGGTTTAAAGAACTGAACCGAGAGCACTGCATCGTGTGAACTACAGCAGTCTCATAGCATGAAGCAGATGTGGACCTGCAAGAAGCCGAGAGAACAGCCAGAGTTACAGGGCCAGCCACTTCCCCACCCACCTCCAGCAGCAGAACTGGTGAGAGCAGAGGCACAGAACATCTGCCACAACATGCGCATGCTCCCAACTTGGGGACCGACACACCAGATGGTACAAAAAGCCATTAAAGACAACCCAGGCAGGAGCCCTGGGCCAGCAGGGACTGAAGCTAACCCTAAAGCTGGAGTGATTTGGATAAATGGCTCTCTGTTTTTCTTCTCTCTGTTGCCCTGCCTTGGACACAGCTCCCTTGTGGCTCCTAGAGCTGCCAGCCACTGGGACACCACTGCAGGACCTCATCACACACTGGACTGCGTCCCCTAACCCAGGAGCTGTGGGGACTCTGGAGGCAGCACCAGCCCTGCCAGCCCTACTAGTATGGGCTTAGGGTTCAAAGGGCTTTCTGCTGCAAAAGCCACTGATTTTTCCCTAGGGACCTACTCTATGATTCTATGATTCTACTCTGCCGCCCAGGCAAAGCAGTTCTCTCAGAGCACACTGCCCTTTCTTTACAAGATGAATTTCCTTACCCAGAATCAGCAGATATTCCTCTGGCTCTACCCCTGCTCTTTTCTCTCTCCTTGCCCCCATGAAATCATCTTTTAAAAACAGGAAAAGAATACTCTGGCAAAGAACCTTCCCTCCACCCTCCCTGCTATCTGTTTAAATATCCTTGACTGCAAGACATCCAGTACAGAACAGTCATCAATTTTTAATTCATTTAATCTCTTGGTAACAGTGTTCTCGTGAACTGAAGGGCCTCTGAGGAAGCTTCAGAGAAACCTCAGACTAGCATATTTCCCTGGATCCAGGGATGAGGCCTTGTGGATGCAGTGGATTCCGCATATATAAACATATGGGTTAATAGGGTAAAAATATTTAAACATGAGTACCCTTCACTGCCAGCAAATTGAAGCACTGCGTAAGCTGGAGCAGTGTACCCTACCACAGCACGGAGTGAGGCATGCACAAGTGAGAGAATTCCTTGCATCAGAGCTGTTCATGATTCAGCAAACTCGAGAAGGAGCCCTCCGAGTAAATACGTGGGCTGCTCATGCTCCTGGTCCCTCTGCTGCTCCGTTCTTGTTCCAAGGATCTTGGAGAACATCGTGCTACACTGGCAGTAATTAAATTCTACCTGCTTAGATGCCCTAGAATTCTCAAGAGGGGATAGTTTTTCTCCTCAAGCCTGTAAGTGTGTGATGAGCTAATACAGTATATGTACAGTTCTCAAAAAAACCTGTCTTTTAGGAATGAGCAAAATGGTATCTGCGTACAGTGTGGACATTAACTGACTCTGAAGATGCTGCAGGACAGGGAGAAAGAGGATTCTTAGCCATCTTCAAATATGCCATACAATGGTAGCACCCAAGGACCCCAGTGGGAAGTGCATTCCGTTGTGCTGGGGTGTTGCATAAAAAGAGGGAGAAAGCAAATCCCCGTCCCCAGTATCCTGTGCTCTAATGAGACAGGTTTAAAAATAACCTACAGCTCCAGTTTGTTGGCAGCTGGAAATTAACCATTTTATATGAACCCAGACTCTCTCATCTTGGACTGTTTAAGAACTTTTGTTCTCCATAGAGGTTTTTGGGAGGGGCTGCAGGTCTGATTGCACTGGCTCTGAACTTAATGCATACGGCCACATCAATGGCATCTGAGCAGTGCTGCCAAAATATGCATGCACATGTAACTCTGAATATCCAAAGCTACTGCCATGTCCCACTGCATACCACAGGCAAACACAATGCTAACAAAAGTGATAAGGAGAAAAAGGTCGAAACCCTTCAGACGCTTTCATCTCCCCTGGAGTCTTCTCCAACAGAAGCCCCTCTCCAGTAGCTCTGACTGTCATTACCCCAAAACCACCCAAACAACGAGGTTTTCTGGCAAGCTGCTCTATAGGGACAGGCCTGTGTCCCAGTCCTGTTTTGCTTCTAGAGGTCAGCACTGAAAGGCTAACTCAACAGACTCAGTTGCAAAGAGACTGAATTGTTCACGGTTACATTAAACCACACTAAATAATTTCCCATCTTTCCATGTGCACCTTCACGTATCAGGCAGTCTCCTACTTCGCTGACGGGCAGCACAAGGATATGAGGCAGCACTCTAGAGAGCTACTCAGAAAATGAATGTATTTTTCTCAGGCTCCTCGGGTTATGCAATGGAAAAGATATTTGGGGGTCTATTTTTCCTAAGATGATGACTACAAAATCGTGATGCAACATGTGGCCTCATTATTTAGTGCTAAAGCCTTTGTCACGATGCCCTGCGGTAGTGCTGCAGTTCAGCCAGACATGTGGATGCTGGGACAATGTGCACAGTTACTATTTCTTGCAGAGACTTCCCCTAATCTCTGATGCCTTTTTCTAACCAGGTTATTTGTCATTTGCCCGCAGCAACCTCTGATTCTTTGCCTGTGAACCTCCTGCTCTGTTTCACACTATTAAGAACATTATTTTCCATTCTCCTGTCAGTGGAGAGTGCTGGTGATTAGCACTGCAATATCTGGTCCCCTTTATTGAAAATGTTAATCCTTCCTTTTTGCAGGGTTTCTTTAGCCAGGGGTGTTAATACTTGGTTAATAGAATCAGGCTGCCTTTTTCTTCATCTTTTGTGTGCATGTGTGTTGGGGAGGGATTTTTTTTTTTTATCTTTTGGTCAGAATTTATTATAGTCTCCCTTTTTATTCCTTTTTTTTTTTTTTCCCCCCCCTCCAGAGGGGCTGCTTTGAGTTTTCTTTTTTTTTTCTTTCTTTTTTTTTTTTTGCCATGATTATCTTAATGCCTTTCTAGCATTTAGCACTCAGAACTCTCGTGTCTAATTGTTCTCTGGACTTTCTGGTTTCTGCAGTCTTTAAAGAGGGCATAAGTGTGTGTGCTCAAGGGAGGAGTTACTGATGTTGCTCACCACTTCCCCACACTTCAGTAGGAAGAGGACTGAGAGCTGGGAGGCCTCCCATCATCTGCTGCACAGATAAGGCTTTCTTTGCTATTCCATAAGCCTCCATTCAATTTGAAGATCCTTTCAGCATTCAAATGGTAAATGGCATCAAAGATCTCCAGCCACAGCCAATAAAACAGTCTTCTACGGAGGAGTCATGATGTGGAGCCTGTGGTAACTTCAGGGATCACGGGTTCCAGATGGGCAGGTGAGTCAGCTGAATTCCACGTGGAGGACAGAGAAGGCTGCAGATGAAGCATAGGGAGTTTGATGTTGTGTTGCAGTGATACAGTCTTCTAGTACTAATCAGTAGTAGTTTGGTAAAAGCTCCTGTTGTTTTGATGTGAAGAGCATAGGTCCTATCTATCTCCCACAAATTACTGTTGTGATGAGTTTCTTCAAAAGAAAAGGCATCACCCAGAGAAAAGCAATCACTGAAGGAAGAAAAGTGCCAGGTTATCTGAAGCTTTATCTCTGCTGATTGCAATCATATCGTATTCTCAGGTAAGGAGAAGCTTCTGTAGCAATGGAGGTAAGAAGCAGTGGCTGTTCAGCATCTTTCTGCTGTGGTTTCTGGGACTCTGAGATCGTTTTCAGGGTATCCCTAGTACACAGATGCTGCCCCACAGGGATGATTTCAGCAGGCAGACCTTGAGCTGGATGCAGCCACGGGAACTGGCCAAGTCCTTCTTATCTCCCGGACCAAGGAGCCAGCCAGCTAGCTGAGGTGGACAGGAGCAGTGGGAAGACAGCAGGGCCTTCATCACCTCTTCTACAAAGAGCACAAAGTTGTCAGAGTTCTCAGTCTAGTCCTTTCATTTAAACCCCCACTAAAATAAGCCTGTGTTACACATACGACACCTCCACACATGGGAACGTGGGAAGGCGTTGCTCACGGAAGTGCGTAGCTCCCCGTGTACGACCCAATTAGAAAAGCAACAAGCCCTTTAAGACCCCTACCAAGCATGATGGCACTTCAGGAGCCTGCAGAAGATGCCATCCAGTGGCAGGAAGATATCACTACAAGAGCAAGCAATGCAATCGGCTTTGGGCAACACCATCTTTGAGAAAGTTGTATCTGGTCGTGACTTAACTACATAATCAAAATAACCAGGATGTCTGTGGGCCGTGGTGAAGATTTGAGTGACATCCATCTCTAATTATGTTAATTGCTGCTGCTTTTTGGTGTTTTTTTTTTTTTTTTTCCTTCCAGAAACCCTTAGGCTTTTGTTTGCAGGGAATAAATAAAGAGGGATTAGTTACATTTATCTGTGTTTTCTTAAGTCTTTACAGAATAACTGCTATGTGTAATTAAGTAATTTGACTGTCTTTGACCAAGCTGATAGCAAATTACCAGTGTAGGGTAAAGCATTGCTTACAAGGTCCCATTCCATTTTACGAATAGATTACATGGATCTAGGATTTATTGATTTTTATTTATTTTTTGACAGGAAGAACTGGAAATAATGGTCTTATGAAGGCAAAAACCCAATCTGCTTTGACAAGCTGCTTTTGTCTAGCAGCATGGCTTGTCTATCTGTCTGTCTTCCCCACAAAGACTGCACTGAGGCAGCTGCACAGCAAGTCTTTTCATTCACAGCTTTCCCCTGGCCAGTGTCAAACATACACTGGTGGGACATATTCAGGTAACCTTTGCTAAGCAATATCATCCTGGGTTTCCTGTCTGTGATCCAGTTAACTGATATATAAATAATTCACACTCTTCTAGAATCCAGCTTAGCTGCTTCCCCCATGCTTTGCTGCTTCTCAAATCACTAATCCATACAAGCTTTAAAAAAAGAAATCTGCTTTCAGTGAGGTTTCCCATATAATTGTCACCACGGATTGATGGGCTTCTCTTCAGGAACCAAGGAGCGCTGATGTGCAGAGAGAACATAATACTATCCTGCCTCAAAATATATTCCCTTGTCCAAGATACAGAAACCATTTCATTTACTTACCTTGAAGATACTTTACCGAGCATAGCAGACTACTACAGATTCCCAGGGCATACATTCTCCTTACAACAGAGACAGGAAACCCTGTCTTAAAACTTAGAAATCTCATTCTACTGTGTTGTTTTTTAGGTTACATTAAGATAATATGATCACATAAATGTGCTTCATACTATGTATTCTCAGCACTCAGCCAACAGAAGGCTGGGGAGTATATCCATATCTCCTGACAAATGGCAAAAAGAAAACAAAATCTTCCAAAGGAACACTGCACTGATACATGTGCTGACAGAGCTGGCCAGAACTGGTAACAGCCAACACTGTGATGTCGAAAAAGTGGTATCAGGGCTAGGTCATCAAAAGTGAAAGGCAGCAACTAATTGCAATTAAGGGGTTTGGGTTTTTTGTTGTTGTTGTTGTTCGTTTTGTTTTTTTCTCCCCCTCTTGAAACTAGCACTCAGGGCAGAAAACAAAACTCTTTCATAAACCCCACTGTGTGGCTTTGTCTTCAAATACTCTGGGGAAAATAAGGGGAGGAGATTGAGTGAGTGCATCCAGGAGAAACCTGGGATACAGCCAAGAGTCGTGATCTGGACAGTGCCAAGAGGACAGGAGCCCAGAGAGGAGGGAGGGAAATTTTGTTGAGATTTTATCCCTGCCAGTTCTACACCCTAGCCTGATTAGTAAGCACTGATGGCTATGTTATTTTTAGTACATGCAAACCCTTTGTTCTAATAATGTGGTCGTGATATTTCTGTTTCTCAAGGAAACCAACATGGGTTTCCTCAGGAAAGTAAACTCCACACAACCATACCTGTGCTGAAGAAAAATGAGCACTAGAACAAGGAGGGGCAGAGCAGCAGGGGCCACAGAGTCATTTCTTCTGGCTGTCCACACAGCCAGCTTTGACCAGTCCTGCTCCTCAGCTGTAACATGGAGTGAGAAGTTGGCAGGATCCTTGTGTGGATCACCTTCTTCGAGGCTGTGTGCCATGTCCCCTGTGCCCCTAGGAAACTTCACCTGGCCCCACCTACCAGACCTACCCCACCTACCTACTTTCCAGGCCATAACTTTGGCATGCAAGCCTTCCTCTCCTCATCTCCCACGTGTAACATCACCAGTCCCTATAGTTTGCTGGAACTCCACAAACAGCAGCAATAGTTGTGCTGTCTTACTCTGAGAAGACATTTCCGAAGAAGTTTTATTTCTCCTGAGCTGTAACAGAATTTCATATACACACCCCTGAGAAAGGTTACTAATTATTCGGCTTACTTTGTGAGTTTCTGCAACACTGTCAAAACCCTAGATTCCACAGTCAAGAACACAGGATCCATTGTCTTTTCTTAGCTAAAGGGAGCTCAAACTTAGTTGTTTCCTTTTTCTCTGAGATGAGGAGACTCAAAACTTCTTTCTCCAGTAGCACAGAAGAGCACCTGGCTTTCCTCCTTTAGGAGATGGGATTGTTGCAGCCCCACCACATAAGCTTTCTCTCCTCAGTTGTCTTCGGTTGTCTGAGAGCCCCATGGAACTCAGAGACAGGCTTAAGTTGGTCCCCGTGCCTCCACACTTTCCCTGAAAAGCTCCTGAGATGGGAAGATGCTGCAGAGAGAAGCTCTTTCTCTCCAGACACCTTGGTCTGTTGACCTCACTAGCAATAGAATAGAGGCCATCTATAACAGATTTTTCTTTCATCCGATTCCTGATTGTGTAGAAACTCTTGCTGCAATACCTCCCCCCTGCTCAATTTTTAACAGACTTGGACTCAAATCCACCGTATTCAGGGATGCATCATCACTCCTTATGAAATCCTGGAGTGTTTGAGAACAGCTTTTTGATTTGGAGGGCTGCAGAGAGCATTGGCTTTCTCCTGGTTCCAGGGTTTCAGCTGTTGTAGGGATCAGGAGCAAACAAAATGGATTAACACTGAGTTGTGTGCTTGCTGACAAAGTCTCTCTCCTATTCAGAAGCAGTTCCATCTTTGTAAAGGCTTTTTTTCTTCTAAGATACTTCTAATGAATATTTATTACAGTAGTTGCTTTTGTCAGTCTCTTGTATGCAGTGGGCACTGTGAAGATTTAACACGAGGAAAGGAGATGATGCCCTGAACTGGTGATGAAGATCAAATATTTGTACTCTCCTAAAAACAGAAAACCTTTTTTAGTTCTCCACTCTTACATGACAGCACCCATTCTGTTTTACATGGTGCCAGCAAGACACTTAAAAATTTCCTGTACATAATAACCCCTTCTACCTTGGCAGCCCAGCAAGAACAGCTTTCTCAGAAACCTCCCTAATCAATTGACTTCGCCAAGCCTTTGCTTAACAAATCCTGCAATAGCTTCCAGCATTTTCCCATAAGTGATAGCAAATTAATGGGTTTGTATTTTCCTGGTCAGTGTCTTGGTCTTTCCTTGTCTCATTAGGCACATGCTGGCCCTCTGGGAGAAATGTGCTGCACTGATAAAGATGCGGGATGAGGTTCATTTTATGTCCCAGTTTCCTTTTACATTCTTGGACTCTCTCATCAAAATGTTGCAATGAATGTGGTTAAGATAAAAAGATCAGCATCCCTCAGTATGGGCACCTCTTACTTTATGTTTAATCCAGTGCCCTACATTGTCCCACAAAGTCAATGCATGCTATTCCAAAAGTGCCTTGCACTTCTGATCTTCGCCCAAATTCAAATGAGCATATTCTTAAAATACATTTGAGTGCTTCATTGTACTTGCAAATAAAATGTTCATAAAAGAAGTTTAAGGACCTAGCAAATCTAACTTTTTATGACTCTGTCAAGTGATTCAAGCCAAAACAGTATATGAAATCACTGCATTTTTAAGCAGTGCTACTTGGAGCACACAATGCTATTTTCTCTGTCATATGTTTAGTCTCTGCCCTTAAACAACAGACTTTTCTTGGAAAGAACAGCAACAAACAAGATTTTGTTCTTTTTCTAAACAGTTTCAATTCTCTTCCTGCCTTTTACTAAAATTGTTTCTTTTACAAATATCTCTGCAAAGCCCATAAATAGCTAATGGCTGCACTTCATTACATATGCAAATGCTCACGCTTCACTTTCCACACTCCTCTTTCGGCCATCAGTTATGCAGCGTATGTGACAGAGTTAATCTTTTCTTCCTTCAGAGAAATGCTTCAGTAAATCAAAATACCAAGTTAAGTCCCTACTCATACATACAGAGAAAATTTGTTGGTTTTGTGTTTGTTTTTTTTTCTTTTTCTTTTCACAGAATCTAAGTTCATATTGCTACTAATTCCACTTAATTTAAGTATCCAACTTAATTGCTCCCCTAGTACAGGTTGGTGGTGGTGGCCCCAGGCTTCTTCAAGGACAGGCATTGGTGTGGTGCTGAGGAGGTGCTCTAGGAGTTCTGAAAGCAACTTCTTTTTCAGCATCTTTGGACACCACCAAGCCCTCACACACACTGGGCAGGAAAGCTTCCCACGCCGTCTTGTGGCACTGAGCCACTGCACATCCAGAAACACAGCCACAACAGGGTGAGAAGGAAGAGACTTTGGTCAGGCTTGATATCAAGATACTAACCTGAAAGGGAAGTGATCCAAGTGTCTCATGCTGATTCTGTTTGATTTCTTAGTTGAATACACACAGAAGTGCAGCAAGTAGAACTTCATTACTAGTCCTTGGTATGGTTGTTGCCTGCTCAGGACAAGATAAAATGGAAGCTCTAAATCATGAGGGTTTGGTTGCATCAATCATACGTTCACAGACTGTAGTCCCTGATTTCAACAGTGCTGTCTCCAGTGTTCTTCAATCAGCAGTAAATTACTCGTTACCTCATAACTCGTTAGACAGGAGAAGAGAGGGATTTGAAGAAAAACAGCTAAGCCTTTATCTCACTGCACAAGGTCGCATATACATTCCCCTACTGATAAAATACATTTGATTTGCACAGTCACCATAAATGATAATACCAAGTACCTCAGGAAAATGAGAATAATACTTGGAGACAACAAGATAATGTATTTCATTTAAAAGCCAATTTATGCCTGTTTTCACCTTGAGTACCCTTTTTTTTTCTTCTTTTCTTTTTTTCCTGTTGGCCTATGCTTTCAGTTGGTATTGCACCTTCTAACATTTTGAATTAAATCAGCACACTGTCCCCACATATTCCTAAAGAGGCTGATAGCCAGCTCTTGCCTGTTCCTGGATGCACAGATGCTTCAGTGTCTGTTTCTGACCAGAATGCAGTGGGAGATCAGCATGGACGCCTCCTTCAGAGGGACCATGGTCAACTTTTTCTGAACTTACTGCTATAACCTCTGAACCATGCATCCATTAATTAGTGCCTTCTCTTACTCAGGCCCCTGAGCAAACTGCAAGCTATGTCCATGGTGCATTTTTGCTCAACAACACTCAGGTTACAGCATATCTGAAGTAAAAGTCCCAAACTAGCCAACAACAGCCATGAACCTCAGCACACTTTTTTTCTTCTGGTGGTTGGTAGCAATGTTGTGTATCAGCATCCTTTGATGTTGCTTTCAATTTTTTTTTCAGAAGGAAAAACAAAAAGAGGAAAATCTTATTTCTACTCTTCCTCCACCAGTGCACTTGCCTCTCCCATGTACATTATCTAAAGGAAAAGGTAACTTTTACTGAATGGAATTCCACGGTATTCTCACCACTTTATCTAATAGTGAGCAGTTGGATAAATGGTGCTGTATAGTCTGGACGATGTTCTGGAAGATCTCCCCCAGCAATATTGACTCTTGAGACGCACTCAATGCTTGACATATTTTATCTCTAACTGCTATCATCAGTGTATCTCTTACAGTTCATAACTCACTTGTTACACATATCTCATATATTCTCTCAGTGGGTATAAAGCTTCTTCTTTCTGACAGTGCTTTTGAAAATCCCTCTCTGCCAGTAGCACCATCTCTGACAGCCTGTGTTGCTGTCCCCAGCAGGCTGGCTGGGACAAGCCTAATGTCCTGCTTGGTTTCAGATCAGCTCATTCAACAGCTCCTCCATCAATCTTAAGATGAGCAAATTGTCCTGATGCCATTCTCTGGAGACATTACTTACATTGACTCTTGGAGTGACAGCATTAGGCAATCTCTGTTACATCCAGAACAATGTCTGGCACCACTGCAGAGCACTATTAGCCCAAGTAACTGCTGTGGCCCTTGAGATCTAGAAGAGATGCAACCGGGGCAAGAAATATCCATCAATCCTTCCAGCAATGTATATGTATCCCTCACTGTTGCATTTCAGCATGCAGGATACTGGGTTTTCCTTCTGGCACAAAGGCAAAAGGAAACAGGTTCACCAGAAACCTCTCCTCCTTCCTCACATATGTAAAGAAGTAAGGAAAGGGCAGAGCAAAAAGAGACCCTATTGAAGGCATGAAAAGGCTCTTTCTGTATTTGCAGGTTCTGGCAAGACAGGGAAGTCATTGCAGCTCCTGGATATTTCTCCTCTATGGCTATTGTCATGCATTGTGCTTTTTTGCATACTTCAGGCAGCTCCATGATCTGTCTCTATGGATTCTAGTTTTGTGACTTGTTTTTTTCATTTCTGCCTCCAGACTCACTCCCTAAGATATTTCAGATGCTCTGTAATTATAGCCACCCTTATGGAAGTACTTGCATTTGCCCTAAGGTTCAGTATGAGTTAGGCAGATGCCCTTTGCCCAAGAACGGTTCATTTTATTGTCAAGGGTTAATTAGCTGTACAATAATCCTTTATCTCTTACTGTCTTGGAAATCTAAGGATTTTTGCTGTTACAGATTATAGCCTGCTGTTTCATCAGTTCTGAAACTGCAAGATTAACACAGAAACCTTAGATCAATCATGAACAATGTTAGGTCTTCATCTTCTCTCCACACTGTCCATATAACAACATACGGACATACTGCTCATTTCAAGGGCAGTTCAACACTTCTTAAATATCTGTAATAATTTTATAGATAACCACTTTGGTCTGAGAGGATAGAAAATGATTAAAAATATTAAGCTCCTCAGAACCACCTATTGTCAAAAATAAAGCTGCCTTGTGTCTTCTCATGACCTTTGCAGAGATGGCATAAAGCTGTCTCCATACTACCATGAATCTGGAAAACTCGGCACTGGCAGTGCTCTCCTCTGTGTTCTAATTTCAGGATTCTGGCCCAGAGCAGCTTCCCTATGGTGTGCTGTGCTGCCTGGCTGGCACTCAGAGCCATGGAATGTCCAGAGCTGGGTTTCCTCTGGTATCTCCAGCTCTAGGCAATCAGCATGGGGCTAGCCAGAGCCTCTGAAACACACCACAGCTTGTTCCAGCTGGTTCTTGGCAAACTCCCTCAAAGCTACCTTCCCTTTTTGCCTTTTGTGATCATTTGCTGGTCAGATCTGCTTTTCTGATAACTGCCTCTGGGCCAGACCTTGGGTGATAACATTAACAATTATGTCAGGGATCTGTGGTGGAGCAAGCTGGCTGATCCGTGGCACTGGAGGAGACCAGGATAATGGAGATCTTCCTGGAGAAGATCCTCAGTCTGTGGAACTGTTGCCTGCATCAGTCTAAATCTACCAGCCATCTTCTCACATCTGAGATTTGCAGTTGAAGATCTCCTGGCATTTATTTGCCTTGTCCATATTCTTTGATCCAAGGGATAGAAAATCTTTGTGTGTGTCCATTGACTCCAGATTCAGTCACATTTTTAGCCTGGCTACAGGCAGCCTTTGATTCAGCAGTGTCCAAAAAATACATTTGTCATTTACACTTGGTATATCTAGAGGTGTCTGTTCTGGTTTTCCATTCCAAACAGAGAAAGCTATAAGTAGATGTTACAGTTGGTGAAGAAATTTGAGACCATTTTGCTCACTCCCAGTTAGAGGTGCACACACACCCACCCCACAGTGCCACTTATTCTGTCACCATCACAGAAAGGACTGGGAGAACTCCACTAGGCTGGAGGAAACCATAACAATTTGAAGCATTACAGGAGCCTTCCTAGGTAAGAACTGGACTTGCATGTGTCATCTCTCCCCTTATTTAAACCATCCTGAAATAGACAGTGGCCATACTGGATCATATGACAAAGGCCATGTTCTGGAACAGTGCCTCTAAACAGAATAACAGAATGCTCTGCCAGGAGTTAAGCTCCCCATCAGGAAGATCCTGTCATAGGCTCTACTCTGTTCTAGCTTCCATGTAAGGCTGATCAATAAATGACCCAGAGCAGTGAAAAGCCTCAGGATCTGGCTGCAGGTTTGCCTGATATCCAGCACAGAATCGTAATGCTCAAGAGATTTGCCAAATTACTGAAAGAGAAAAGTGGTGCATTAGTTCAATGGGCCTCTGAAGAGAAGAATCAAAAGCATTTGAAGTTGGGTCAGCTCAGTGGGAAAAGTACTTCTACACAAAACACCCACTGGAATGTCAGTGAGAGTGTTTGTTTACCTGCCCAAATTTCTGAGAATTCATTTGCATTGTTTCTTTGCTGCTCCAGGGAGACCCAACAGCAGAAAGATGCTGCACAAGTGCATCACAGTTTTATGTTTTTTTTCTCTCAAGTGTCAGCTGAAGAAATCAGAAAACTTCCAAATCTAATTACTTACCCAGTTCAGCTGGCAACTGCCAGCAAAGTAAATGAAAAGTGCAGCCCCTTCCCATATTCTTTACTAAGCACTGTAACAGAGCACCTCCTCCTGTAAATGTCTGGTGTTGCCAAGTCTCATCTATCAGAAGAGCATAGTTGGAATAGTACTACAGCTTCTTCTAATGTTACTCTTGTGTATTTAGCAAACTCCGATATCAGGAAGTACTTTTCAAGTGTGTCATGAAAAATACATTTCTTACCATATCCTTAACTGAATTGCATTTTAACCACGTAAGTGTTAATGGGAGACACTTACATTTTGAGATTTTCTGCTTCAAAAACAACTCCTCATAAATCCCACTTTAACCCATAGACATGAATCATGACATCACAGCCATTTCCATGGAAAGAAACTTACATCACAACCTTTGTTGCGTTATCAAACAGAAGCAGCTGGGTAATGTGGGTGAATAATCCTGTTCTGTATATTCAGCAATAGCAAAATGAATACTGAAAATTACTAGCAAACTAAATAGCTACTTCTATAAATACTCTCTTTTCAAAAGTTCACCCTGTTTTAAAATCCACTTGTTAAACGCTATTTAGTATATATTTAAAAGCTGATGGATGAAGACCAAAGTCCTTGAAGCAGACATAGGAAAAATACCTATCAAAGCCAAGAGTAATGCAAACTTTTCCAAGTTTATCTTATTGGTAAACGGGGGCTGTATTTTCTCCCCCTCCCCCTTGCCCCATCAGCCATGAGAAGGCAGCTTGATCTCTACCACTACCAACTTCTTGGGTACTTTGTTTAAAATAAGTGCAAGACAAATGTCCTGTGCATCAGTTACCCCAGCACTTTCCACCACTGACTTTCATTCGTCTCCATGCTGAGAGGTGATATTAAGCCCCCACCAAGACTTAGAGCTACCTATTTTCACCACAAGTAGATAAGTGATGACCAAGCCAGTCTAACAGGGGACAAACGCAAAGCTGATACCAGTGGGTATAACACCATGATAGGAAACAAACACCCTTCCTGATCAGAGCTGCTTGGTAAGACAGCAAAGATACTCAATCAGCATGTTGTTATTGACGATAGCCCTATCAACAAGAGAGCTCAACAGCATCTGGGCACCACGATACTACTCATTCTTAAAAAAGGTATCTTGCCAACAAGTGGAAAAACTGTGCTACTGAGGCATGTCCCTTCTTTGTGCCTAGATTATGAGGTAATTTGTTCCAGGAATTAAGGCGTACCATGCATATTAGATGCAAAATCCAAGCCATAGCCAAATGATTTGTCACTGAAAGCAAATCTGTCTGCACATGGAGAGAAAACGTGCACCAAGTAGCACTGACAGCTTTGGAGAAGATTTTGGGTAATAGAGCTATTTCCCTTCCCTCACACTGAAATAACCGAGTGGGATCTTTTTCCCCTCATCTCTCTTGAAAATATTAGAAATCATTACCAAAGGTTGGTTGCTGCACTCCATGTGCTTAAGTACCCTGATTTCTTCTTTTATGAAAAGAGCGCTGAATGCATCACATTTGCTGCTGAACAAATGCATTTGCCAGTTCTCTGAAACGCCAGCACAATTGCTTTAGCAGTGTTAATAAGGAGGGTGGTAATCTGAACAGCCTTATTTTTGTCTTCAGCATTCACCCCAAAAGGAAACGTGTTTCTTACTATTATTAGTGTATGTGACAGAAAATACCAAGTACACGCAACTGTTCCCATTCACTTGCCAACACGGATAATTCACATCAGGCTTAAAAAAATAAAACAAAATAAACAGAACAACACCCCAAGTAAATAAATTAACCCTTCCTCTTCTACAAGCAATTCCTCTGAACCTGAAGCTTGAATCTAAATTATTTTGCCAGGATGGTGAGTTAAAAGGAAGAATTATATTTGACCGGATGGTGAGTTAAAAGGAAGAACAGAGCTCATGTTTATATTCCTTGAGGACCATGTAAGAAACCATCCTGTCTGTCACATTTTTCTCTCCAGTCAACCGTTAAGCGCACCCTGCCAGTGTAAACCAGACCTGTGGAAGAAACAGCTTATTCACACCCAATTTTTTTATTTTATTTATTTATTTTTTTTGCCATCCATTTTTGTAGTGGCCAGTACAATTCTGACAGGCTCAAAAACTCAGCAGGTGTAAACCCACCATCCTCCTGCTTACCCTCCCAAGAAATCGTGTAATGGGGCTTGAAAACAGGGAGACTTAACTGAAATTATTAATAAGTGCTGTAGTTTTTTGTTTTGGTATCTGATTTCTGAAGCTAGATGATGTACTCACAGTTACTCTTCCAGGATTCTCTGTAAGCTGCAATGACAATAAATGACGTTCTTTACACCCCCTATTTCCAGGGGATGAAGCCATAGGGAGGAAAACAAAAATGATTCAGCATCATACAGCTCCAGTCAGTGCTGCTGCCATACTAGTTCAAGCCCAATGTGTCTAAATCACACACACAAAAAAATAGAGCCTTCAAGGGTGCTGAAAGTGATTGCCACAACTAATTTAAGGGAGCAAATGAGAGTCTATGCCTGTGTCTCATTAATAACGTCTTGTTAGCAGCATATTCCCAGAGAAAAGTCTTCTGCTGAAAGTTTAACAGACAGCATTCCCTTTGCTACTTAACTGGTTCTTTCTCCACCTCACTGGGCAGATGTCTTCCCACCAGAACTGAGCAGACAGAAAACAGCAAAGGGACCTGTGCCTGTGTTTGTGGCCCCACTGCCAGTCATGAGGCTTTCATGGTTCTGGCAGGCACCTGGCTGTGCTATCTGGTAGGGCACACCAGGGATGGGGTTCTCCCTCACCCACCTTCTCTGTGATGCCAAACGCAGCCTCCAGACAGACAGCTGCATATTTCCAAATTTACTAAGTACGCTCGCTGAGAAGAGCCACGTCTGACCTCTGGCTGTGGAAACAGTGAGGATAGTGATGGCACCAATAACCTGAGCCTTTTCCTGAGACACTCAGGGACTCTCCAGGGGTATTTGGTTTACTCCAGGAGGGGCAACATGGTGTCCAAGGCCAAGGGCAGGGTGGGGGCAGCCCTAGGGAGACTGGGCAGAGGCAGGAAGGCCTGGCTGTGGGCTTGCGGCCATGATGGAGTCTGGGATGCTCCAGCAGTGAGACTTCTCTCAAAGACTCTTTTCTCTTCAGTAGGAAGAATACAGACACATTTCTGTGTTTCACCAAGTGCACCCAGATATCTAAAGATACATGAAGCCTTTCACCTGTGCAACTATAGATAGCCCTGCATGACAGAGAATTACTTTCTAAACATATCATGCATTTAAAGGGCACAGGCACGGGTGGCTTGTAACAGGTACCAAAATCCTCTACCAAAGTCCACACTTTTGGTAGAGGAAAGTCTCTCCATCTTATGTGTTTTGCCACCAGGTCACACAGAGGTAATGTAGTTTTTGCTGTGATGATTTTCCTCCATAGAGGAAAACCCTCATGAGATTCTTGTTGAATCAATCCCCCTAATACCAACCAATAGCTTAGCAGGCAGCTCCTAAAAATCCAGTTTTGACACCCCAGAACATAAGAGAACTTTTTCCTTTTCCTCTCGGTGCTTTTTAGAGACCAGCAAGGCTTCTACTTGACATATTCAGGACTTCAGTGTGACAGGTTCACAGCCAGGCCCAGGCCTATTTCTCTGCTCTCTGTATAGCAGTTGGTCACTGATTTCACACTATTTTCATCAAAAGTTCATTTTATTTGTGCAGCAGGACCTCATGGATTGATCATGGCACCAGTCTGGAGCCTTTCTGTTCTCTGGTTCTCACAATATAATCCCAATAGGAATTCTGCTTTCTAGTTGAATCTTCAAGGAAGAACATACCAAAATAATACAAGTAAATGCTTATTAAATAAAACTCTGTCACATAAATAAAACCCTTGTCACATTAATCTTCATTAGTAGAAAACATCAACAAATGGTGGGAAAAGAGATCGTCCAAATCCTTCCTTCTTTCCCTGCTTGGAAGGTTTGGGCAGTGTTCAAGCCTCCTTTTCTCTCCAGACCACTTTAAAAGCACTTTGCTGGGATTTACTAATGGTTTCCTTTAAGCCTGTCCCTGTTCTACATCTGCCTTGAAAAGCAAGTTGCTCCAAGCTTTTCATGCTTGGATCTACTCTTCTACAAGACGGAAAAGGCCACCAGCAGGCATTCTAAGGCAATGATTTGTAATGGTGTCCTAGCTCTGAATCTCTTTGGGACATCCCATACCTCAGACTGAGGCACGGGACAAAGGACAAAGTAATGTGATGCCATCTAGACGTTGTAACACCAAGGCATGGGTAGCTGTGCACGCTGAACATTGCTCTCAGAATTTCCCTTCATTGTCTGACAGAGAAATATCTCCCCTCTGTCACAGATGGACTGCCTTATTCATGCACTCTTCAGTAGGCTCCAAGCATTAACAAAAACAGGTTAATCTCTATAGCTGACTAGATTTTGGGATAGGTGGCAAGGATTTGGTTATTTACAGATACAGATACAGGCAAAATCCTAAATACTGGGGCCATTGCTAGCCTTTTTAGCCTTGTTAGTTTCACAGTCATTCCCAATGTATATGTAATGCTCATATGTATACATTACTAGTTAATCTTATAATTTTCATTGTCAACTATAGTATTCAAAACCATGTTCTTGTTTAGAGTTTAAAAAAAAACAAAAAACTGCTAAGGGGAAAAAAATAACACATAAAAGAGAAATAAAATTAAAGATCTGCAACTTTTGTTTTTAGTTTTGTTTTGATATCTTTCAGATGCTGGAGATATTTTAGACTCTCTTCATCTTCTTTTCCTTTCAAAGAGAAGTCTGCTTTTTGCTGTGTTTTAAAGACATTTGTTCAATGTGAAGCAGTGTGGTTCCCTGGGCGGAGAGCTGTCAGCAAAGCCAAAAAGCTGCCATGCAAACCAGACCCCGCATGAAGACTTGCCTCATGTCATGGGGAGCTGTCTCAGGGAGCAGCCATGTTCTGAGAGGAAAGTTGCCTCCTTTCCCCATTTCCTTCACCATCCATATTTTGAAGGGAGCCCTTTTAGCACAGTACTTATTTCTGACTCACACAAATCTGCTCCAAAGCTCGAGTAATGCCAAAAATGGGCTATTCATATTCATTCACGCTCTTGTACGCATCTCTGCTCTCATAAAATGGAACACGTGTCTGATGAGCTTATTTACTTTCTAAATGTGTGGCTAGGAAGGATAGAGTGTGCAAGATATAATGGTAGTACCACTGGAATAACATCACTAAGGCATCTGCAAATATAACTCCCCAGTTTGCGTGACCACAGCCAAGCTCTGCGCAGCCTGGTCATAATGGTATGTAAGGAATACTTTAGTGTAGATTTTATTATTATGCCCTTTATAATACACACACACGTGCTCCCTTGGTTAATTCCCAAAATAACAATGCTGCTTGGTACAGATGACTCATTCCTAAGATACTATTTGACTCACTGCTCTTCACTTCTTACAGGGAAGAAGACAGTTCAAGTCACTACCTGGGCAGCCAGGGAGAGTCCCTCAGGGTTGGGGGCTGCTTGCAGGGCCCCATACAAAGCAGGCTGAGTTTCCTGTGCCAGGCTGCAGA